TCCAAACCGTCTTTCAATCCATTCAGTGGCTATTTTCAGAAATAAAGGGGTAGTGGAATAAGTAGACAAGTTCTTAAAAAGTTACTTATAGTCAGTAGAATGTCTTTGGGGGAGCGTCAAAATAAAGTGCTCTAATTACTGAGAGCTGACATGTGGTTGCAAAGTTAATTATAGTTAGTAGAATGTCTAAAGTATTCTAATAAAATACCTTAGATTTTAAATAATATTTACATGAATGCATTTTTCATTTTAGTTGATTTAATGTTTACATGGTTTAAATGATTGAATATTTGATTAAATATTTGGTGGTTTAAATGATGTTTTCATATTTTCAAATTTGAAAAATATAATTCCTTAACCTTCATGGCCAACATATACACACACATATATTTATATGGATATACAGTATGCCATATAAGATTAAGAAAAAAAAAACACTACACTTACAAAATGTCAGTTATGGACTCTGTTTCAGACAGTTATCAACTACAGATGAAATAGTTTCCTAAACTAAAGGATGTGTAGTCTTTTGCTTGTGAAAACACAACTTTGTAAAGCTTCACTGGGTGTACCAAAGCTTAGTCTTGTCTGTGGCACGCAGTCAACATGTGTTATTGCACTCCTATATGATAATCAGAGACGTAAACCTCTAGGACATCTTAATCTCTGCAGAAATACACCCTGACACACAGTTTTCTGCCTCTACCTGCTTCATATGAATAAACCATCCGTCCAAACTGGCAGTCTGTCTCTCTACTCAGCACTGACAGCGGTGCTTCATTCCCAGCACTGCTGGAGATATGGCTTTATACTCTGCGGGCCTGGATAGACGCTCATATTGAGCTCAATATTTCCTAAGTCGATAGGGTGAAGAGAAAGACTGCACATTTGTGATAAAAGTGCCACATCATGCCTTAACTGATGTATTACCCCATTTATTTCGTGAAGGGAAGGAGAGGCAGGGGACATTGGATAAGAGTATTGTCTTTTGTCACAACTGCTGAAAGCCAGAGGATATAAACACTTTTTCCTCAGAGTTGTATGTGATGGTGGGTTGAGGATTACATGGTATCTGTGGGACATTGTACAATGTCATCAGAGCTGTTTGCGGAAAGGGAGATGGAGGAGGACAGAGGGAGGGATGGGGTGTCTTGAAAGAAAAGAAGGGGAGATGAAGAGAGGAGTGAAATATCAGACATTCAGGGAAAGTTGGACATCAGTCAACAAAGTCTGTCAGAGAAGAGGTCTGAATCAGATTCATTAAAGTATTAACGTGTGTCTCTCCCCTCTGCATCTTGTAAAATTGTTGCATGAGACGTTTAAAGATGTACATATTAATGAAGTATGGAATACTAGAGCAAGAGTTTCTCAGTAGGGGAGTAGAAGAGACACATTACAAACCTTATCAGCCTAGCTCATGAATATTAATTAGATGACATAATGCTCACCCAGTAGTTCTAACTGATTTCATGAAAGGCATGTAAGTGGGTACTAATTGTAGCTTTACTTTTAGAATGTGACAATTATTTAAAAAAAGGAGAACAGGAAGACGAACATAGAAATTATGTTCTAACGTTGTTATAAATGTTGCTATGGCCCTGATTATTGCATACTCTTAAAATATGTATGATATGGCATAGTTGATTAATATGTTTCGCTGTCATTGTAATGTTTTGTTTGACCTCATGCACCCATCAAAACCTCATATTTGACCACTGTCCACTATAAACCGGTCGCTATTTCAGCTCTAGACAATTTTAGTGTGATTTTATATATTACTATATTAAGTACTAGGCAAAATGATAGTGAAGTATTATTAAAATAACACTTAATGCCCAGCTGACATAGAAATCCTTCTCTGTGGTCCTCTCATCTATTGATAGGTTCACTTAAATAAGAACTGTATGTGCAGTGTCATTAGATTTTTAAAACAATGGTTAAAAGCAGTTGATGGGAATAAAATATTTTAGATTCAAAGTTTCACGCATCTTGCTTTTTTTAATTTTATGAAATAGTTTAGGTAATTTGATAATGTTTTTAGCTGCAAATAAGAATATACAGTCTAGTACTCACTTCTGTTTAACACATTTTCCCATAAATTGTTCCATAAAATCAGAACAGTATATATATATATATATATATAAATCTGCCGATTCTGACTGGGTCTGCATGTAAGTAATAATGCATGTAATAAATCTTTATTTGATTTCTTTTGAGACAATCATAGGTAATTATTTGTGAGAATGTATATAAGCATTAAACCTGCATCATACAGAATATGCATATTCATTAACAAGCCTGCAAACTTTGCTGGTATTTGCATAAATGTTAATGATGTATGTGTTTGTGCTGCCTGTGTGCCTCAGGAGCTATGGGAACTGAGCATTCGTCCATTTCTTATTCACTCTATAGAATCCTATTTGAGCGCGGATAAAGTGGTCTAAATATGTATACATATTTTCTGTGGAAGGCTCAGGACCATAAAATATTCGTCCAATCATTGCATTCATTTAAAATACAATGATGAATGTCCTACATGCCTGTCAGCATATGTTTTTGAATATCTCGGCGCAGCCAATAGCAAGAGTTTGGGGCGTGGCTACTGTAGCCAGCTGAGCCAGAGAGTGTTTAGCTGGTGTGGAAAAAAGAGAATTTACAAAAATGCAAGCCAAAATTTGAAGACTTGCCAAAATACACAGAAACAGACAGGTAAAACAAGGACAAACATCGGCAGTGTTTTTACAAGATGGAGGAGCGTGATGGAATGATTGCGTTTCAGTCGATATGACGAACTTGCAGAGTTTCTTCTAGATAAGTAAGCCAAACTTCAAGTATGTTGGACCTTTTATTGAAAGAAGTCTACTTTTTCCTTTTGAGACATGCCTTGACTTTTATAGACCTGTAAGAGCTGTGTATGTGATGTTTGAGTTGGGGAGGCGTGATGCACGAAAGGGGCGTTTGCAAAGGTTGTTTGAAAACATGCTTTATTTTTGTAGTTCCACTAGGTGACACTAGTTGCACAGAAACGGCATACTGCAGCTTTAACGTGTTTTAATCTTATTCACTTTTTCCCAGTAAAATATAAAAAAATCCTTAAAACAAAACAAATATACTAACCAACACTGTTTTTTTCAGCCTAAAGAAATATAAGACCTTTATAATGTACTTTTGTTAGTTGCTTGTAGTATAGCTAAAAAGTGTTGTGTTTGGGCATGTATGTTCATTTTTGTTTATAGATATAATATATATTTTTAAATGTAATAGTTCATTGCATATGTAAAAGCTGGGTTCCTGTAGCTTGTGTCTGGTTTTGGCTGGAAGAAATAGGCTGTTGGGGAATGATGCGCACACCGTTGTCATCTGGGAAATCAGTTGGTGGATGCATTTTCCCGTGGATGTCAACAGCACAGGGACGCCTGACGAACCCGGAGTGCTCCCGCTCCCACTGCTATTCCCTGTGTTTCAGTGAAGGAAAGAGTGTGAGAAAAAGGTGAGAGTACGAACAGATGGAGAGGGGTGATATGTGTTCTCAGGAAGATAGAGACCCTGAGAAAAAAAGATGTGTAAACACACACACACACACACACACAGAATCACTCACTGATGTTCATGCACTTCAATTGTATTATGTTCTGTGCATATCGGCAGACATAAATAGATAGACATACTGACTGGATATATGACATTATGGTGGGCGTTATATTAATGCACTTCCATAAAATCTCTTATAAAGGTTTGGGAGTTCACATCTCATTCTGGCTGCATTTTCCTTCACCACCCACCACATATATACATTTGCAGAAAAACACAAACATGCACACCATTACCAAGAGCATGTCTCTGTGGAGTTCACCTTGGGAAATATCCTATGCCTGTTCATCTCCTGTTTTTCTCATTGTACTTTTCCATTGAAGGCGAACCTGAAATTTATATAATTTTTGCCTTGTGACAGGGAAAAAAAAACTTGCATTGAAATTTGATCAGTGACTGTGCCTGATTTGAAATGTAGTGATTCGCTTTCTGAAATGAGACCTAGATTAAAATCCCATGTCGACCGAGCATATCATCACAGACTCATGATTTATTGAGCACATGCTGATGGGGGTTGATTTTCTCTCACCAGAAAAAACATTCTTGATTCCCCCCAAGAGGACTAAAGGTCAGTTTTTGACACGATGAGTGACATCATCTAATCTCTAATGAAATATGTTTCTCGTTTTCTCGTTCTCTTTGTTCCATGTTTATTTCAAGAAAAGCTGCTGTTTGTACAAAACGCCTGATGCCGTATAGTCCAGTAATTGCAGCTGGCTTGGCTGGATGTTCTTCTACCTGCAGTGCACGTAGGGGGAGGTGTTTGTGGGTAGTGCAGATGGAAAGGTGAATAATCTGGCACTCTGAAAGGGAAGAGTATTTACAGAAGTGCAGGGGAGCACGAAAAGCCGGAGGTTGCGGCACAGATATGGTTCCACTCAGGAGAGGCATTTATGGTTTAAAAAAGGAGAACCAACCTTGACTAAAACGACTCTTTTATTTTTCCATAGCGAGGTTGGATTTGGGGGATTAAAGGTTGATTATGCTGATCACCGTACATAATCCCATCATCCGCCGTGTCATGCTTGTCATCAAACACACAAGGTCCTTCCTCCTTTATCCTCCCAGTTAATTCTAATCTGAAATGTATGTTAATGCAGCTTGGGATTTATCACTTTCATCCAATCATTGGCTGCTCCAGTTTATAGTAAATGGTCTCTGTCTCTTTCTCCTCCTCTCTTCTCAGTGTGTGTGTGTGTGTGTGCGTGTATGAGTTTGCGACTCAGCCTTGAGGCATCCCGTTTCAGCTCCTCAGCTTCCAGTCAGAGGGAGAAAGGGGGGGGGTGTATATAAGAGTGGTAGGTGGGAGTGGGGTCTGACCGCAAAGTGTCTACTGTTTAAAAGAAAAGGACTTCTCCCTCCCTCTCTCTCTCTCTCTCTTTCACTCATTCCCTCTCAGCATCAGCAGACATACACAGGCTGGATGGCGCACTCTCATTGAGAGCGGAGAGACAGGAGGGAATGACAGGACTGTCATCTGTCTAAAGAAAATTAAAAATTAAAAAGCACTTCTAGTGTTCCTGATGTTTTTAACCTTTCGTTTGGCAACACATCGCAGTTCCTAGACAGAGGTACATCTCTGAGCCAGTAGAGGAGGATTTGTCTCACTAAGGTAAGCTGTGATGCTCCAAGTCATTTCCATCTACCTGTTAGTGTGACAGATTAAATGACTCTGTACTCTTTATGAGTGTTGCAGTGTTGAATGGGTTAGTAATTTTGGCTTGTTCTTAATGCTAAATCAGAAGGATGATTTGAAGATGTTGTGCCACTTTGTAATGCTGATGGGAAAAAAAGCTGTTCATAAGTCATATTGTACACTGTGCAAAAATGTTACCTTTAGGTGTACAACATCTTTTCACTGAGGCAGTACCCTTATCTACCTCTAAAAGGTGCAGATTAGTACCTTAGAGTAGTAATATGCACCCTTAAGGTACTACTATGCACTTTTTAGGGGTAAATAAATTACAAAGATGTACCTTTAAAGGTACTTGCCCAGTGACAAGCTATTGTACCCATAAAGGTATAGTTTTGCACATGTTTTCTGACAGTGTAATAGTTAGCCAGTGACTTTTAAGGCTGCTATTGATGCATTGACTTGCTTTAGGCTGCTCATTATGGTTTATAGTGGAAGTGGTCCACATTTGTTTTAAGCAATTATTCCAGCTATCTAAGTCAGCAAGAGGAAATACAAGATTCCTTGGTGTTGGCAATTTCCTGTTACGCAACAAAAAACATGGTAACTTTTATTCTTTCTAGAACAGGAAAGAATGATCAATAGCTTTCCATTTTGGGAAGGGAATGCATTGTGATATAAAAAATGACCTCCGTGTTCAAATAAGTATTTTTACTCTGTAGCAAATTGACTTCTGGGTTAAAATATGGTCTTCTATTCTTTGCAGTTCCTGACAGACCACAATATGTCTTTTAGAAGAAAAAAAAATCATAAAACAAATTTGTCTTTCTAAGACCAATACGTGAGGCACTGTCTGCATAGTGCCAGGAATAGTGTTTGAACTTCGTTGCGACAAATGGGAGTCAGAAATAGCTGAAGTTTGAGCTTTTAAGGTCTGAACATATGAGGCTGCTTTTCTGGCTGTAACAAAGGTTAAGCTAATAAACACAGGGTCACCATTGCTGAAAATGTCAAATGAGACAGCAAGTAACAAGTGTTCCTCGTTCATTCCTTACTTCTGGACTTTAAGAGAAAGCAAACATGGACGTTGAAGCCAGGAATTATTCAACTTCATTCCCTGTAGACTTCTCCAGTGTCCCTGGTCTCAGATGTTGACTGACATGTCCTAAACTTTCCATTTCTCCTTAATCAGCATGATGGAGTTCACCTCTGGCAATGTCACCCTAGCTCTATCGTGTCCACTTTGAATGCTTCTTTGGTGAAAGTGCAGCAATGTCAGCGAACCGCAGGTCCATTCAGAGCAGTGCAACCACCTCTATCTCTGCCCATACACCAGCCCGGCTTATCACTCATTTACACACACACACACACACACACCTCCTATCGGTGCAATCAGATCTTCCAGCATCATTAGAGCTCTGTAAATGGGCCTCGACTGTCATGAAACCCAGCTTTTTCATTGTGAAAACAACCTGCATTGCCTTTCACTTATCAGTCTGCATGTAATCTTATGCTTCTACCTATATATAGATAAAAAATAGCCCACAGGAATGGAGTCAGGAATCAGTAATTAAATTATGCCGTTGTGGGTTTAAAATTGAATTAAAGAAGAAGTACCTTTAAACCCTGGCAATGAAATCAGATGCAAGATTAATAATTACTTAATCTCATTATTATGCGAATGGTATAAATGGAAATATAATATACAGTGAGTGCCGTATGTTCTTAGGTTCTGGTTTCACACCTCGCTGTCAATCCACCAATGGGAGAAATGCCAAGAGAATGCATTGGGTGAGAGATCACTTTATGTGGCATTTAAGAGACCTTTAAGCTCACATTGCACATACAGTGGTGAGACAGCACGTCTCCGTGTTTATGATTGCCAGACATATTCATTTGTTTGAATCTGCTCAGTGAACCCACTGCAAGACATAACTAACTTCCTTTTAAAGCACAGACAAGCCAAGCAAAATAGAGTAGTGAGCCATAGACAATCATCAGCTCGTTTGAGGCAAGTGGACAGTCACAATGCACATCCTGCATTCACATCACAGTCTGAAAGTAACAGGATGTCAGAGAGATGAAAAATAATCAGAAAAGAGAATAAGAACTGCAAAACTATAGAAAGAAAGTACAGAAAAAATGTATAATGGTCAACTGAGCCACTCCTGTTAAATGAGCGTTGCTCAGGAAGGCGATGACTTATAAATCCATTTATGAAGCAATAACTGTGGCTGTATGCTTTGCCATCGATCCGAGAGCACACACCATTGAGCGGCGTTATGAGCTGGTCTGGAAATCCATTTCTGTGTTGGATGATTATGAGCTGCTTCATGGTGCTGGTTTCAGCAGACGTCTGCCTGATTATGACCTTGGAAAACCATGCAGTCGATAAGCATCCACTTCTTAATGACAGCATACACATATTTTTAATGTTTTTAATTATGATTTATCAGAATTTTTGGGTCTTCAACTCAGACCAGACACCTTTCAGCAGGTTTACTGCTGTGCTGACTGGATTAAGAAGTATTTACTTAATTTAATTGTATTGATTTTTAATGAAGTTTGACCTGCACTGGAGGACCTGGAGGAATGATACAGTTTGTACGGCTTTTTTTCATCACTGACTCCTTTCCAGTATTAAACAAACTGTCAGGGCATTTTATGACATCTATTAAGGTGAATAGAGTCTAGACAGTACCAATTCATTAACTACTGCGGGTGACCCATATTAAGGCTGCGTCCCAGTGAAGGCAAGTGCTTTCTGTCATTGGTGACCTATAAAACTGAATCTGCTTGATGATTTCATAGGTATAAACTGAGGAAGAGTTGTGCTTCCCTTCTGTTCAACAGACTGTGGATAATGTCATCTCTAATCATTGAATATGAAACTGAACGATGAACTGTTCAAGCAACCACAGCATTTTTTACAGTTCAATAACCGGCTATTTAACAGATAATTTACCATTAACCATTCACCACCCCATCAGCCTTCTAAAGACAGGAAGAAATGTTTTGTTTTGTTTTCATTTCTTTTCTGTTTTTTTCCCGTTTACAGATTCTGTCACATCAACGGTTGTCATCTAAAAAAATGTGTTACTAATTCCTATCCACTTTACAATAATAGTACATTTACATTTACATTTAGCCATTTAACAGACGCTTTTATCCAAAGCGACTTACAAATGAGGACAATAAAAACTGTCAACAATATATAAGTGCAATTGACAAGTCTCGGTTAGCCTAACGCAGTACACGTAGCAAGGTGTATATATATATATATATATATATATATATATATATATATATATAATAAACACATATACACACACACACACACAAAGAAAAACAAGTAGATAGAATAGAAAAAATAGTAAGCTAGTGTTTGTTTTTGTTTAGTTTTTTTAAATAAAAAAAGAAGATAAATATAGATAAAGTAGAATTAAAATAGAATAGAAAGTG